AACAAGAATCCACGGCCACTCCAATTGATACCCCGGTGGTGGAATGCAGACACTAGACCGGGGAATATTACTGCCCAAAAAGCAAGGTCAAAACCGTGATTCCACGGTCGTGTGTTTTACTCCTCATGTCGTGGATTTTGCCTCTTTGTCCCCCGAATCCCGTCTGCACTCCAGTTGCACCAAGACTTACTCCTAAGCCTCCATTCACGTACTAGGACCTGGAATATCACCAACAAGCACTACCTAGCATAAAATGGGCCACAAAACAATCCAATATCAAGCCAAACGATCAAGAAATGTCGTGAAAAACATGTGTAAATACGATGTTGTCATCTGTGAAACAAGACACTAATAAAAAATATGAAACTTAGATTGAGTCTAAATCCTAAACCACAAATCCAAGTTGGTTGGATTTTTTTATATATGTTAGATTGTTATGAACCTAGTTTTACTAGAAAGAGAATTAGCCAGTATGGTTGAGAATTAAGGGAGTTACAACCCGATTCTTGAGCAAGGGTTTATGATTGAGCTAGTGTAAATTGTTCATTAATCATTTATTTGAAGTATGAAATATCGATCGATTGTTGATTATGTGTTTTTTATTTAGAGATTTGGTTATAATTGATTTGTAGATTGCTTTCTATATTACTTATATGCATCTTAATGAGTTCCAAAATGAAAGAAAATTATAGAGCTTTGACAAAGAAGAAGGATCTTGTTAATAAGTTGTCAACAACTTTTAACCTAATATCTCATTTAGTGAGAGCATGGTATTTGGATCGTGAAGCGGTCAATGTATTATTTATGAACTTTTGGACCAGATGAATGATTAAGTATTTATGTTTTTATGAATGATCTCTTTATTCCCCAAAGATAACTTCAAAAGTTATGCCTCTTAAGTCACGTGGTTCGAGTTGCCCCATAAGATGCCTTGCTGCCAGACTCAATCACAATCTATTGAGCACTTTTTTCTATTGTCTAGAAGTCTGCCTTTGGAATTTAATGGGGTTGAGACATATTCTCCATATTGTCTCACCCAACAATTCTAACTCCTCCAAACAATATTTTCTGGAGCATTTGGAAAACTCGCAATGTAGTTGTTTTGTTTGTCTCATTTGGAAAACAATATTCTCCATATTGTCTCACCCAACAATTCTAACTCCTCAAAATTTTAGTAGAAGTGCTCTGTTTTCACTTTTCATCACGGACGGATTGTTGAGTTCACGGTCTTATAAGACCGTGAACATGCAAACGCGTCTGTGAACTCTGAGCCCTGCATATAAAAGGGGGCGTGAACGGCGACTCTTCACTTCACGACCAAAATCTAGTTGGAAAATTTCAAATCTTCGTCGGAAAACGCGAAAATCCATCGGTTTTTCGACTTTTCCCCCCATTTCCGGCGAGCAAAACCCAAAACCAACGTCATACCTAGTCTCCTTCCTCAATACCGGACTGTGCTGAGATTTTGGGGAGATTTGGAGCACATTTTTTCCGGCCAAGTCACCAGTGGCGAGTCTCCGACGAGCTTCCTACGAAGCTCCGACGACCCCTCTCCGGTCAGTTTTCCTACCGTTTTTCACCTTCCTCGCCCGCACCTCACTTCCTCCTTCATCCTACTTGAGTCTCCAGGTTTGTATTTCGACTTTCCCTTTGTGAATTGTGGAGAATCGGATTAGGTAGTGAAGTGAGGTTGAATTTTTGTGCTTTTCATGATTGAATCTAGATTTAGGGCGAGGAATTAGGTGAATTAGGTCTATTGAATGATGGATTGATTTTTGCATGAGCTTAGTGAGCCTTGGTGGGCGTGTTTGAATCGAATTGTGTTTATTTTTAGAATTTGCCCACCAAGTGCTATGTTATGAATGCAAGTGGAGTTTATTCTTAATTAGTGGATGGCAGCCACCGTGGTAGGGGTTGTGGTTCAACTTTTTGTGCGCTTGAACCGTGAATTACCCACAACCATGCCACGGTGGTTTGAGCTTAAATGTTTTAACCATGGTGGAAACACAAGTGTGGGGGGAATTTCTTTTCCTCCCAATGAGCATTATATGACGGATGTTTCCACGTATGGTGTGTGTTTGTGCTTGTGCAAGATGGTTAACATGGATCACTCATACCTTGTGGCGCTAAGGAGCAACCCTGAAATGGAGAGATGCATACTTTTGGTCATCTTCGAGAGTCGGTAACCATTGGAAACTCAACTTCGGGCAGTTTGACAAGCTTCACTCTGGTGACGTTATGAGGAAGGCAGTGGTGCACCCACAATGGGGCCAAGCCCTTAATTTGGAAGATGACATCTACGGGAAGCTATGCGTTGAATTTTTCAGCACCTTCACCATACGCAAGAGCCTGTGCCTTCTCAGTCATCCAGTATGCCGGGTCAAGTTCCGACTGGGAGGGGAACTTCGCAATTTGAGCTATGATGAGTTAGCCAGAGCCCTCGGAGTGGCAGTCAAACATGAGGACGAGTGGGAGGAAGATGCCATCTGAAGTTTTGACGTGAATGTTGCGTTTCTGAAGTTTTTCTTCCAAAGTACCGAAGGACAAAGTTCAAGTCGGCCCTCACAGCGGCATCCACACTCCAGCCCCAGTGGCGTGGCATGGTTGCACTCCTAGCTCGTTCCCTCTACCCGGCTTACCACAACCCGAACAAGATAACCGAGAGAATCTTATTGGCTTGTTCTTGCATGGCGGACCGGTCTATTACTCTGCACCTGGGTTCAGTCATGGCCACTTCTTTTGTCAGGGACAATGGTGGAACCCGTCGCTATGCCACATCAATGGGTCCGTACATCACCCGCCTCGCTAAATACTTCGATATCAACATTGCAAGGTGCTTGAAAGAGGGGCGCACCCAGGGATTTGACGAGGGCACTCTGCACTCCATGCACTAATTTTGCACCTTTGGCCCAATGCGGTACATCAAGGGATTGAGTCCCGACGAGTGAGACATGTGGCAGAGCGGAGTCCTTTCTCCCCACTTCTCTACTTGTAACCCTGAACTTGTTTGTTTTTGTTTTTGTTTTTGTTATTTTTGTGTGTGCGTGACATAAACTACTACTACGTATTGTGCTTGTAATAACCTCGTCTCGAGCGAGTCGTATTGCGTTTGTGTGTGTGTTTTTTGTCTCTCCTTGAAGCTCAAATTATCCTACCCCGGTTCGATTCCAACTTTCACTCACCAAGTCCAAGCGGTAACATCATTCTACCCCTTTCTTACGCCATTGAGGGCAATGTTGAGTTTAAGTGTGGGGGGTAGTTTACTAGTACTAGGGCAACCGTTCCAATGCACATATCATGGTAGCAGTTAGGGGGAAGCGATACCCGAGTGATCCTTCCACAAAAGAGTTTTCAAAACCAATTACCTTTGCTTTCTTTTATTTCAATTAGCAAACCTTTAAACCAAAAATTTGTTGCTAGATAATGATTTCAACAACCGAAGTAGGGGTAGACGGACCGGCTCGGATCGATATCTAAATACTTGCCCTATACTGCACCTGACTAGAGTTTAAAAACTTGGGCTCTAGTTGGGATTTTATTGTGGTGTAGTTTCGAGCGAGTCATCTAATATCAACAACATCAAACAACAACAACAACAACAACAACAAGGACATTTTATAAAAGTCACAACGATAACAACAACAAAACAACAACTTCGGCATGGAAATTCGAAAGTTCCAAACAACAACTTCTTCAAACCACGACAAAATCAAAATAACAACTACTACTTGGAAAGAAAACAACTACTACATTTGATAAAAGTTCCAACAAACTACATACCACTTCTATTACCACTACTTCCTCTTCTACCACCTCTCGCACGTCGTTGCCCACCACCACCTCTTTGTTGGATCCCACTGCCAATTGCTTGGCCACCACAAGTTGATGCATTATGTTCAGACTAGTTACAGTTGCTACACACTTGTTGTGATACATCCTCTCTTGGCCAGTCCATCTCGTTGTGAATTCTTGTTATTCGTGGCCTTCCCGGCTTCCTAATCATGTGCACATTAGGATGGAGAGTAGGTCCATTATGTTTCTTCCAAGCCTTAGGTTCACCAAGAGGAGTGAAACTTGTCCCGTAACAAGCCAACACTTTTCTAAGTTTGCAGATATCACTTACAAACCTATACGGGTTAGCCCCCATTCGGTTGCAAGCTGCAATGGCACGAGAGCAAGGAATTTTATGTCCTTGAAATTTCCCACAAGTGCAAAATCCCGCCCGATTGTTGTCGTCGAAGTGTACTGTGAGTGTGTTCTCACCCGTCATGTTGAAATTGTTGGGAGGAGTCTGAACTACATAGATGCCCTGACGTCGATCAACCCCCGTCACGGAATGTCCAGCTGTCTTTTGTGTCCACGGCTTGATCAGATCTTCGCAGATGGTGGTGTACTGTGCTTGACCACTTCTGATTTTTGTTTCTGTCTCCAACCTCATCTCTGCCATGTTGGATGTCAAGATAGACCATCGACGCCCACCATTATAGTTATCATGTGCTAAGCTCCAACAAATTTTATGTTGGTCCACCTAGTTATCACAAGAAATATTCCTATCATCGACCGCCTTCTTAAATTGCTCAACTTGACGATCGAACTTCTCCAAGCATTTTTCTCCGCCTAACAAAATAAATAACCACTCGAGTTAGATAAATTCATGATAATTCTTAAATAAAAATAATTAATACATTAAAATAAATATCAATAACGATGAAGAAGGCTTACCGACTTGAAATAGTTGCTTATACATAATTTTGCTTTTAGTCTTTCTTTGCAAATTGCTTGCATAGTGTCGCATGCACCACCTCCACTCGCAGCCTCTTCTGATGTCACTCATAGCTTGATAGAGTCCTTCATGTCTATCTGAGATGATGCATACATCATTTCGATCGGTCAAACCTTGAACGCGACTTATGAACCATGACCAACTTTCAGTATTCTCGCTCTCCACGATGGCAAATGCTATTGGAAAAATCTTCTTCCGGTCATCAAATGAGCTCGCCATGAGTAACACTCCTTTATACTTTCCAGTAAGAAATATTCCATCAACAACCATGACTCATGGACAATTCTTGAATCAATCTATACAAGTTCTATAAGCCTAGAATACTCCCTGAAAGATCAAATGACCTGGTTGAGCTGAAGGAACTCTTACCCAATCAATCGCCGATGTTGGCATTTTCTCTTTACCACCCTCAAGAATATTTGCAAATAATCGTAGGATTCTTCCCAATTTCCATGCAACTTCTCCAATGCTCTTTGTTTCCCATACCAAGCCTTCTTGTACGTAACTTGCATATTAAACTTATCTTTCAACTCGGCCTGCATAGTTAGAACACTCAGATTTGGTTGGGCACGTACCAAATGTTTCACGGACTCAGATATAACGTCGACATAAAAATGGCAATGATCCATCGGTTGAGTCGTAGAGCTACAAGAATGCACCAACTCGGCCTTTCTCACAGTCCATTCTCCTCCAACATCTTGACATCCAAACGGCACCATCCATGGACAATTGTCCTCCTTGTGCTTCAAGCATCTAACCTTCCAGATATTCTATGATGACTCCACCACGACATACTGAAAGTTGCATTGTAGTGCGTGGTGTTTAATCGCCACCCGTGCAGCTTGTTTCGAGTGAAATATTTGCTCCTTGTAGAATTCTCCTTCAAACCACCAACCATAGGCATTGGGATTACACCATATGAATAAGCAAATGACAATTCGTCGTCCTCTTCATTACCCATCAAGTAAAAACAAGGAGGATAATTAGACTGCTCTCCTTCCCCATCTTCATCCTCCTCCTCTCCATCTCCGTCATCATCATCATGATCGGATGGCACGCTCCATGTCTCATCTTCTTCCTTTTCACCCTGATGCTCACTGAGCTTAGCATGTATCTCAGCACCCAAAAAATAATGGTTTTGTGCCATAAAATTCCAAAGCGCATTCAAAATATCATCATCCACAATAGGCATCGCATAATGAAATAAAACACCATTCTGCCATTCTAGAAGACAATAAGTGAAACCTGTGATCACATCACTATCTTGCATTGCTTCGTCTCTACGTCGTATTCTATGAATTAGATTCTCACAAAGTTTGTGATATGTCAACCTGGATTGCACCGTCATTTGAAAACTTCCACCACCAACGAAATGGAGGCCCAAATTATCCTCTACTTTCTCCGATTTCCACCGAACGACTAATTCAAATATTCTAAAATCACTACATAAAAAAAAACTCACTAATTACTAAACAAAATCATAACAACATTTGAAGAATATAATTAAAAATAAATGTGTCTCTTACCTATTAGCCATATTTGCAGCAACCAGAGCTTCTCTCGTCTAACATGAGATCGATTTTTTTTGTGTGAGCAGCTAAAAGGAATCGTTGGGTTTTTATAGGGCTGGAGTGGATGGGCAAAGTAGCGAACCCGCCCCAATTTTAGGCGCCCCAAACCACCCCACTGCTCTGGTCTCCAAAATCGCCCCAAACCGAGGCGCCAACGCTCGATTAGGTAAAAACAATCAAAAAACGTGTCCGCCTGAGTCTCGGGCGGGCTCGCTCCTTACCCTTTACAAAAAACAATATTTGTGTCAATAGTTTTTAAACGGCTAAATTACACGTTTGGTCACTCAAATTATGCAAATCTTTCACGTTTGCCACTCGAATTATTTTTCTTTCTTATTCGCCACTAACTTTACAAATCGCTTCACCGTTAGTCACCGACCGTTACACTCCATTAAATTTTTCCTACGTGACAGTCAACTATAAAATTTGACCGTTAACTAGCTGACGTGGAAATTAAAAAAATAAAAAATAAAAAATATATTTTCCACCCCAACATTCCATTTACTTTCTCTATACAATTTATCATATTAATTATTTAAAAATATTTAATTAAATTAGAAAAACCATCTCAGCGTTACAAGGGCTAAAGATTGGGAAGTGGAGCCAAAAAACACGCCAGACGAAAATGGAGTTTCCTGGACCGGCTCGCTTCGTTTCTCGAACAGCCGCGAAAATGGAGTTTTCAATTGCACCAGACGAAGACTCCCGCCTTGAGGAAGCCCTAGAGCATTTCGGCCACAAACACGACGAAGCCGCCGACGACATGGCTGAAAATTTAGTAGATGTCCGGCAAACTGCTATCGGCAACATAGGTCAAATCCATGCGCAACTCAATGAAGATAATCTCCAAAAACCCAACCATGAAGCAACGGACACGAAGCCTTTTGATTTCGCCAACCCAATCGTTGATGTGAAGGAAGAGCAACGAGAAGAATCTGATGAGAAAATTTTCCCTACCGCGATTGCAGCAGTTCCTTTATGTGGTGCCGGCGGAGTAGCCTTGTGATGTAAAAATGGAATCTAAATAGGAGCTTGAAGCGGCTGAGATTTTGGCCAGAGGTACGCGGATTGTGAAAGACGAGTCTATCGAAACAGAGATGGTGTTGGTAAAAACAGAGCCCGAACTTACGACGACTGAAGCGCCAGTGACTTTGGAAGAGAAGCCGAGGCAGAGATTAATTTTTCTTTAATAATTGATATGATAAATTGTATAGAGAAAGTAAATGGAATTTTGAGGTGAAAAAATAAATTAAATTTTTTAATTTCCACGTCATCTAGTTAACGGTCAAACTTTATAGTTGACTGCCAAGTAGGACAAATTTAACAAAGTGTAACGGCCGGTGACTAACGATGAAACGATTTGTAAAGTTAGTGGCGAATAACAAAGAAAAGTAATTCGAATGACTAACGTGAAAATTTTGTATCATTTGAGTGACCAAACGTATAATTTAGCCATTTTTAAAGGGGATTGCTATTCGTCGCCCTAAAAATCCTTATTCGTCGCCCTAAAAATATTAAATTTACTTTATTGTCCTTAGTTTTTTTTTTTCCTTTCAATTTTAAACTCTAAAACAAGAATCATGTAATTAAAAAAATAAAACAATCACCACATAATTGCCTCCGGTGCAGGTTCGATGGTTGGAAGATAGAACGATGGTGACTTGGTTAGTGGAATCACAACTTAAGCATTCACAAGCATACTGAAAAGTTAAATTGAAACTTTTAAGTTGAATTTTTGTTTTTTGGAAGTAGTTCTTGAATGAAATCAAATGCGAGTAACAAATCAGTGGAGGCTCGAATCCACCATTGTAGTCCAGAGAAGGAGAGGAAGATCCTCCACTTCCGTGCTGCGAAACAATCGGTTGCCGGGGGGAATTAGATTTTCCGTAAATCCGACCATCCCGAGTCTCCCCGCCGTGGAATCGGCAGCTCTACCGCTACTAAGCCTGGAGCTCGCGGAAAAAAGAAAATCGATCAAATATTATCGTCATTGCCTCGTTTTTAGAGAGAGAGAGAGAGAGAGAGAGAGAGAGAGAGAGAGAGAGAGAGAGAGCGCAGAGAAGAAGCGAGAGGCAAAACCAAACAAAAAGGAAAGGAAGAAAAGAGGAACCAAAGCTAGCCAAAGGGGTGATTCCAGTAACCAAGTCACATTCACACACACAAACACATAACAATCAGAACGGCACCAGCGGCGGATTTGGGGAACGACAGTGACGGCCGACAATCGGCTGGTGGGGGGACGATTCGATTACTACGAATTAGGGAAATTGGAGTTAGGGATAAAAAAGTCAATTCAGTATGATTTAGGGCGAATTTTTTTAAAATTTAGGGCGACGAATAGAAATTCAATTTTTAAATGATAAATTAAAAAAACAATATTTAGAGAATTAACCCACGATAACAACTTTCTTTAACTACCGTATTTCAAGGCCCAGCGCATCTGAAAGAAAAAAAAAAGAGAGTATCTCGTGGTTTATTCTTTAATTTTCTCATGTTTCATTTGTTTTGTTTTAACCAAACGGAAAAGAAACACAAACAGACAAGAAAATGGGAAAAAAAAAAGGTTCATGCCCAAATATTTAAATGGGAAAAAAAGGAGGAAGAAAAACGAAAAACAAAAAAAAGGAAAGGACGAAAGATAAAACTAAGACGCGTCGAGGTGAAGCTGTAGAGTCCACGTCCCTCACCCGCGTTGTTAGAAGACGCCGGGGAGCCCCAGGGTCTAGGCCCATCACATGTAGCGAAACGGCAGCGAGTGAAAATGCACTCGCTCCTCCGCGATTGAGGAGAGAACCGGTCACAACAAAAACGAGGCTTGGGAAAGTAAATGAGAGAGAGAAACGAAGACTCCCTACTCTCATCTTCTCTTCTCTTCCTTCTTCGTCTTCGTCTTCACTGCGTCCCTCTCCTCCTCCTCCTCCTACTTTTTCCGTTAAAAAAATTGGTGCGTTTCCTGGCCAGGCTTCCGCGCGCTCTCTCTCTCTGTATCCACCTCTGCCTGCTTTCCTGTTTCTTTTTGTTCCCTTCTTCCTCATCTTCTGAGCTTCTCGGCGGGGCAATCAGGTCAGCATCTTTGACGGATTCTTCCTTTTTTCTCCCTCGGTCGTGCTTGCCGTCTTTTTCCTTGTTTTCTACTTCTGAGTTTAATTTGGGTCTGATCGGCTGTTTCGGGTAGAATTTGGATGCTCTGTATGCTATTTTGGTGCCGTGTTTTGTTTGCTGAGCTACTTCGATTACCTGATCTATGATTGCGTAGTGTGGGTTTTGGGGGCTCCGTAAGGTTCTTTTCAAGGTTTTTCTCTTTGTTGACCGGTATTTATTCCTTCATTTGAAGAATCGTTGAGAGAACTGAAAGTTTGGGGTTGGGAATGCTTCGAATTTATAGGTTTGGGAGGGTTGAATTGTTTCCAAAAGATGGGTTATGTGGTGGGTTTCTTGTTCTGGCTATGGGGTTTGCTTTTCTGCGATTGATTATGTCTTGATTGATTTCTTGGGTGCAGATGGTGAACTGAATTCGTGAAGGGAATGAGCTTAAGGAGTGTGGCTGCTTTTTAATTGCATCTTTTCCTAATTGGTATCAAGAGGTATCCCGGTTTGAGATTTTGAATTGCTGGTTTCTGCTTTGTTTCCTTTTCGGGCTGTCTCCAAATTCTCGATTTTGAGAACATTTGGACACCAAAATACTATGTTCTATTGGGTTTATCCCAACTTCAGGTTCCTTAGTCTTGTGTGATGGTTATATCTGCTAGTTATTTTGGTTCCATGTGAAGCTTGGGTTGGGGTGAAATGAGTGGAAGTAGGTGTGATGAAGACTTTCATTCTTGGCTGTTTACTTCGATTCTACTTGGTCCAGTTGATTGAAGAAAGCGTTGCCTTTTTCTTCTTTCTGTTGACTAATGATGCTGATTATAACCAAATTATTGTTAACTGTTTGTTCTCAGGACACGTTTCAGCAGACGGGTCTGTGGTTTAGTGTTTGGATTAAGGATAAGGGTTGATTTTTTTGGGCTGATTCCTCTGTCAAAGAATTACATCTATGATTGGGAAAATGGAGGCCCCCAAATTTACCGGCCTTATAGGGGGAAATAACCACAATGATAACAACTACTATGATTTGACGCAAGGGTTTTACCATAAACTGGGCGAGGGTACGAACATGTCCATTGACAGTTTACAAACAAGCAATGCTGGTGGTTCTGTGTCAATGTCAGTGGATAACAGCAGTGTGGGTTCCAATGATTCACTAACCCACATTTTAAGTCATCCTGGCTTAAAACCTGTGAGCCACAACTACAGTGGAACAGTTGGCCATAGTTTGATTCGTCCAGGAAGGGTTGGCCATGCACTGAATGATGATGCTTTAGCTCAGGCGCTCATGGATCCTAGATATCCGACTGAAGGATTGGCCAATTACGATGAATGGACTATTGATCTGAGAAAACTCAACATGGGTATGGCATTTGCTCAAGGTGCTTTTGGTAAGCTATATAGAGGGACATATAATGGGGAAGATGTTGCAATCAAGATATTGGAGAGGCCAGAGAATAGCCCAGAGAAGGCACAAGTGATGGAACAGCAGTTTCAGCAAGAAGTCATGATGCTTGCAACCTTAAAGCATCCCAACATTGTCCGTTTTATTGGCGGATGCCGTAAGCCGATGGTTTGGTGTATTGTCACGGAGTATGCCAAGGGTGGTTCGGTACGCCAGTTTCTGACTAGGAGGCAGAATAGGGCAGTGCCACTGAAGTTGGCAGTTAAGCAGGCCTTGGATGTTGCTAGGGGGATGGCCTACGTGCACCATCTTGGCTTCATACATCGTGATCTTAAGTCAGATAATCTTCTCATTGCAGCTGATAGGTCTATAAAAATTGCTGATTTTGGCGTTGCGAGGATTGAGGTGCAGACTGAGGGGATGACTCCAGAAACTGGAACATACCGTTGGATGGCACCGTAAGTATTTGAGTATCTCACTTTTGAGGTTTGAAAATATTGTGATTACCATTCATGGACTCCTTATAACATCAGAAGTGCATATTACTTTTTTTCCCTTTCTTTCTTTCTTTCCTTTTTTTGCTTTTCTTACCACGATGGGTTTTATATTTATCTGATGCTGTTAGAGATATACAAGGGAACTTTCATTGACTGCATGTCTGCATCATGTTGTTAAGGAAACATAGCTTAAATTTAGAGATTAATTGATTCTTTAAGGACAGTGAGGAGGGCCTGCATAGAGATTAGAGACAGAGTTATAAGGAGATAGGAGAATAAACAGAGGAAGAGAACAAGAAAAAAATATGTGTCTTGGGGGTGGGGGTGTTTGACTTGAGCTTCTCCAATCTTGAGATATAATGATTTGCTGACCAGTTTTGGAAGATGTAGCCATAGCTGTGTGTTCTTATGGAAACTACTATACATGCTATCCGAAAGATAGATGTGAAATGGTTCCCTTTTGGTCTAGTTTGTTGGTTAACTGTGTCTTGACTGTTCTTCAAACTTCAAATCTTAAAAGTCTAGCAGTAGAGAGTATATGTCGCTGCAACTTGTCCTTTTCCCTTTTTGGCCGTTGAAAATCAAATTCATGGCCAGAATTTGAATGGTGTTCCTAGTATACACAGGAAAGTAATAAATAATAATCCTTATGCACAATGTAATTGATGCAAGGTCTTTCCTAATGCAAGAGTGTCACTGCTGGAGTAGTAATGTGAACTTCTCAGCTGTGACCAGTAGTTGTATCTCGAAGAAAATATTTATTCTGTGACAATTATTTTCCATCTCTATCGCATCAATTTTCTAACTATGGCACTAGGTTTGTTTGTTTTGGCTTATCTAATCCGAAGATGAAAGATGTTCTGCTCAAAATAAACGAAAAATAAGGATCAGAGATACTAACTAGCAATGCAATGGCCATGCTGTCTATTATGCCTACCTTTTTGCATGTCTATGATGTGAGAATATTTCCAATGAATATCTGCTGCTGACTTTTAGTTGATAGAAGGTGACCGGTTTACGCTGTCTACTGTTCCTTGTTCTTTCCAACTTTTATATCTGATTTGTTACTTTCTGACCAACATTGTTGGTTGGAGGACTGTTGCGTCTCTCTAAAAGAAGTTGAAGGTGATGGGTTCACTAGGGCTGCTTGAAGTTCCTGTGTAACTGTGTGTTGGTTGCCGCACCTATTGCAAATTTGTGTAGTCGGTCGAGAAATGTTGCTGGTTCTCGTCTCCCTTTCCCTTTACGAAAGGATATCTGCAAGTCGATTGATCTTGGATTGTTGGTTTTGAATTTATCATTTTTGTGCAGGGAGATGATCCAGCATCGTCCGTACACACAAAAGGTGGATGTGTACAGCTTCGGCATTGTGCTCTGGGAGCTGATAACTGGAATGCTTCCATTCCAGAACATGACAGCAGTGCAAGCAGCATTTGCTGTGGTGAACAAAGGAGTGAGGCCTGTCATACCAAACGACTGTCTGCCTGTGCTGAGTGAGATCATGACCCACTGCTGGGATACAAACCCTGAGGTTCGTCCTCCATTTGCCGACATTGTCAGGATGCTTGAAGATGCAGAAACCGAGATCATGACCACAGTCCGCAAGGCGCGCTTCAGATGTTGCATGACCCAGCCCATGACAATTGACTGAACCCAGCAGGGTATAAGACAGATGGTAAAAAAGGAAGAAAATGAGGGCACAACTGAAAAGGTGGGAGAGAATCCAAAAATGAAAAAAACAGGAAAGGAAAGGAAAGGAAGCATAAAGAAGTGAAGCAGTATCGAACTATTTGATGAATGTGTATGTATCAGGTTTTTTCTTTTCTTTTGGGTTTATTTCAGATAGGGTGGGGGAGGAAGTTAACAAGCATTTTAGACTGGGTAGGGTGGGTGCTTGCTTTTGGTGGTTCTGCTGAGAGAAGAGTAAGCATGTGATTGATGGTGATCAGATCATGGTGCCATTGGGGGGCTTTCCTAGTTTGTTAGTAATTTGTGGAAAACTATATGATGCTTCTTTCCCTCGCTTCTAAATATTTGTAATTGCGCCTTTGAAAACTCAGAAGACTCTTTGTCCTTTCTCTTTTGTTTCCATCTTAACTCGTGCTTGTCGATTGTTCTATGTTTCCTCTACATTTCATAAAGACAAGTTTTAAGCTTTCACATGAAACCTGATGTTGACACAACACAGAAAAGCATATTCTGCAGCATTCTCATTACTTATTCTCTTTGAAAAATATCAGCTCTTTTACGAATGCATTTGGTTTCCAGACTACAGTTTAGCACAATGTGTATTCGGATTAGGCAGTGATCATGGTTCCAAGCCCATCTTCCGACATGATCTCGTGGAGGAGCGAGTGCTGAACTCTGCCGTCGATGATGCTCGCCGTGCTCACTCCCTGTTCTATCGCCCTGACGCAGCAATTCACCTTGGGGATCATCCCTCCGGCGACCTTCTTCTCCGCAATCAGCTTCTTCACCCCTGCAATGTCCGTCTCCTTCACCAAGCTGTTCGGATCATCGCGGTCCTCCAGTATTCCCGCAACGTCGGTGAGCAGGATCAGCTTCTCAGCCCCAAGTGCGGCCGCCAGCTCACCCGCCACTGTGTCGGCATTGATGTTGTACGACTGCCCTGCCTCGTCCGCCGCCACCGAGGCGATCACCGGGATATGACCGTTGGTGATGAGCGGGAGGAGCATTGTCGGGTCGACCCGGTCCACGTCGCCCACGAAGCCCAATTGGGCCGAGTTAGGGTTGGGCCGTGCCATGAGGAGCCGCCCGTCCATGCCAGAGAGTCCGACGGCGGTGCCGCCGGCTTTGTTCATGAGGTTGACCAGATCCTTGTTGACCTTCCCGACCAGAACCATGGAGACAATCTCCATCGTCTCAGCGTCGGTGACGCGGAGCCCATCATGGAAGAGGGGCTCGATGTTGAGCTGCTTGAGCCAGCGGTTGATCTCGGGCCCGCCGCCGTGGACGAGGACGGGGCGGAGGCCGACGCAGGAGAGGAGGACGAGATCGCTGACGACGGAAGCCTGCAGCTTCGGGTCTTTCATGGCGGCGCCGCCGTACTTGACGACGATTGTTTTGCCCCTGAATCGCTGGATGTAGGGGAGGGATTCGGAGAGGATCTCGACCCTGAACTGTTCGGGGGACTTGGGCTGCGATGCGCCGTCGGAGGGGGAGGTAACTGCGGTAGCGGAAGCTCTGATGGTAAGTGAAGGCAGGCGCTTGGCCGAGGAATGTGGTGTGTAATTGAGTTTCGTGGAGTTGAGGATTGAAGGAGTTATGGATTTGGCGACGGAAGAAAGAGGAGGTTTGAAGAAGGTTTTAGTAGCGGCCGCCATTGGGGGTTTTGGTTGGTGAGTTGCTGCAAGGAGATGAAACCGAGAGAGTTGCTGAGCCTGACTAGAGGAGAAGTTCTCTAATGTTATAAAAATGGAATTCGATGATTATGTTTTTTGGGCAAATGCCAAAGAGGCAAAGACCGAAGAGTAAAGATGGTATTGCAACGGTTCATCTTTCTGCGAGTGCGAGTTACTCGCACGCCACAACAAAGAAGTGTCCTCTTCTCTGCCATCTTTGAATTCAGCTCTTTAACTGCTTCTAGGAAAGAGTAAATTTTTTTTTTTCAAATACAATATATTAGCCACAACTACTAAGGAACGGAAAATTATGACCATAACTATTCAAATACAAATTATTAGCCAAAACTATTGTTGCGAATCATGAAATGGCTAACTATTTGTTACTCCGTTAAATTTTATAACAGAGACGGCCACATCAGCATTCCACGTCAGAAAATATTAAAAAATAATAATTATTAAAAAAATAGAAAAATGAGAAACCCATTTTTTCCCAATCCCCTCCGCTGGAAAGAATTTCCCCCTATTATTTTCCAATCCGCCGCCGCTGGAACGAACCTCTTCGAAGCCACCGACGCCGCCTTCTCCATCACATTCCCCATCCTCCTCGCCTCTCTGTCGTCCTTTCAAGTTCCCCCTTCGCCATCTCATCCATCTCCTCCTCGAACCTCCGTAACTCCGTGATCGCCGCCTTTATCGTCGATTCCAGCACAGTCCACGCCTTGCAGGCCTCCAATTCGAACAGCTTCATCAGATCGGAGTCGATTTTGGACGGATCAAAGTGCTTGTCTCGCAGGAGTTCGTCCGCCAGTAGGCAGAAGATTGAAGATTCTGGACGGATCTGGGAGCTTCGAAGGGAAGCACGAAGAGCCAGAACAACTACTCCGCCTCCATCGCATAATCCAATTTCCAGGTGTGGCCGACTCCGTCCGCGATGACGAAGATGATCACCAGAGCTTGCAAAGGTCATTTCGAGGACTATTCGTTCGGCACAACATAGAGCAGCCCGCAGAACTACTACTCCTCTACGTCGAAACCCGACTCGTCGGCAGGCCTGCGGCCGTTCGCGTTCTCCCGACCCGACTACCCGGAAAAGGGTAGAGAGATGCTCGCCCCCGTTTGTTGTTCCGGAGGGACCTCGTTCAGCTTGCGAATCGTGTGCAAGAGTTTCTAGAGCTTGAACGTCGACGACCTACGGGGCGAATTGACCTGTGGATGATGATCGGAATCGGGGGATGATCGGGGTATTTTTTTTCATATGCTGGTAAGCTTTTACTTTTATGTTATTATTTACTTAATCAATTCCACCTGGATGCCACGTTCTCAATTCCACCTCAGTTTATTTTGCCAGGTCAGCATTGCAGAAAGACCAACTAACGGGGTATTAACGGACAATTAACGATTGGATATTAATTTGTATATTGATAGTTGAGGATATAAATCCCCGTTCCATAGTAGTTATGGATATTATATTGTATTTGCCCTTCTTTTTTCTTCAATGGTTGAGCCTTTCTTCTTCAGTACCTTCACTGCTTCCAAATATAGAGCATTCACAAACATGGCCAACATGGCCTACAACCACATCAATCAATCTCATCACCAGACTCAGAGATACAGAAAGAGGGGAAGCTCCAAGCCTGCACAGAGAAAGAGTAAGGGTGTAGGAGAAGCATGCAAGGGGATTGGGAGAAGGAAACGACAATCATGGTCCTGGGTTTCGCCGCCAATAAAGAAGAAGAGGAGAATAAGGAAAGAGTTGACTAGGATCCCTCTGAGTATTATATCTACTACTAGGGGCGACAAAAAACAGAAGGAAGATCAAGATGCATGGGAAGGATATCTGAACATTTATGGGGCGAGAAACTCGATTGGCCCTTTACGACGAAGGCCAGATGAAATGGGGGATGATAGACGGGCTATCAACTTGCAGAGAGGAATAGTAGCAAACAAGAGAGGAAGAAACCTGTGGCATCATTACAAAAACAGAAGGAGAAGGCAAGAAACGGCCACTCAGCAGGGAGCATTAAATGGGGGTTTTGCTTGGAAGGGTGAATTAAACACTGATGGGGCAAAAGTCAGACGTCTACAACAAACCAGCCGGAGCAGAGAGGAGATCTAGAGACAGAAGGGATTTTGGGTCTCTCTCACGCTTGAGAGGGGAGTAGGTAAGGGGCATTTAGTTACCCCTTCTGATCTGCAGATAGTGAAAGGGCACTATAGAAGAGACACACAGGGATCCTCCATAGACACCTCACACTCAACAACAAAACTATGAACAAAACCCAGGAGAGAAAAGAAGAGATTTACCCAGAAAAAAGAAAAGCCCCCCAAAACACAGAGTGAGACAAAGCCAGCAAGAATGGAGGTTAACCAGGGAGGTGTGAGAGGAGTGCACAACCACCTCATCATCAACGTTCAACCGCAGGTGGTGGGTGCAAGGGGATCAGGAATGGCAATGCTACTGGGGAAGTGGACCACGTACTCAAACATTGGCCTCTTCAAAGCTAGGAATGCGGCAGCCAGCAAATGGAGACAGTTTGGAGAGGTGGAACCATCGAAAGAAGATGACAACCTGTTCATGCACACCTTTGAGAATGAGGCGAAGAGAGATGTGGTCCGGTAAGGCAGGTCGTGGAACATCGGAAAATCACTGGTGGCTGTCAAGAAGTGGGATGGGGAAGGGAGTGCCAAGGAAGTTGATTTCTCAACTGTGACCATGTGGGTCCAGATGCACGATCTCCCTCAATCACTGAAGCATGAAGAGACCATAATGGCGGTAGTAGAGTATATCTTCCCAGTCTTCCATGGGATCGATAGACCTAACATCGAGTATAGAGGATGGATGAATTTTATCAGAGCTCAAGTAGAAGTCAACATCGATGATCCCATCCCTATCGGGTTTGAATACCCATGTGGAGAAAGGTCAGTCTGGGTCGGTTTCAAATATGAGAGAGTAATCAATCTCTGTTATTTCTGTGGGAGATTAGGGCATGTATTACAGAACTGTCTGATAAGAGAAGAGAGTAGAAGGAAAGGATTAAGCATTGAAGCATCTGAGGTGTATACAACGGCACTCAAGGCCTGTCACGATTCTCCAGCGAACACCCCAGTGGAATCTTTCAGGCGCCGACTCGCAGCTCAGATGGAAGAAAGCCCGAGGAGAGAAAGGGAGCTCATCCTTCAAGATCGAAGGGAAAAGTCAACCCATCTGACTCTGTCCCCCGCTGACAATAGAATGGAGATGGCCTGCCCACTTGGGTTCAGGACTCTGCAAAGGGGGGGTGTCCTCTAGCAACTTCATGGAGCATGATGGCAGGCAATGGTACAGAGAGCAGGAGAAGGAAGCAAAAAGTTCTCCTCGCAGACTGGCGATTGACCTGGAGGCTACAACAAAGGCCATCCAGTCATCGCTGGTGGTCAACGAAGGAGAACCCAGCTGGAAAGAGGAATGAGAATCCCAGAGAAGGAAGGAGGAAAGAATGGGCCTGTTTGAGATGGGCCAGCAACTCACTTTAGCGGGGCCTAGAGCTGAGAAGATCCTAGGAGCATCGGCTGAGACTAAAAAGGAGCAGCCCAGCCCGCCAAGGTCACCACAAAGAGGCATTATTGGGTCCATCATCCACGAGGCCCAGTATCCGATGCAGCTCATAAGTGGCGAGCCTCCAATTGAGAATCAGGCCAGCCCACTAAAGAAGAGGAAGGCGGATCAAGGATAAAGTGGCGAGGCTAACTCACCAGCAATCTCAAACCTTTCTAACTTTAGTGTTGATTCTCTTGATTTTAACCCAGGACAGGAAGAGTAAGGGCGAGGAAGAAGAAGGCAGGTGTACCGGAGGTGGAGCCTCGTTGCAATAACAGCAACAGGAAAGCAAGCCGAGGAGGGCCATGGACCAACCTCGAGGGCAGCGGTGCCAAGCCTGGAGCCGCCTCCAGCAGAATGAGGCTGATAAGCTGGAATTGTAGAGGGTTTGAGTAGACCTCTACAAGGAGCTTCTGCAAGAACCTCTATCGCAGGTTTCGGCCATCAATCTTGTTCCTAATGGAGACTAAACAAGAAGCAAGCTTCATGGAGGAAAAAAAGGAGAAGATTGAAGTTTTCAAAATCGGAGTATTTTAGCCCTAGTCAAGGCGGTAGTGGATTAGCTTTATGGTGGAATGAGGATGTATCAGTCAGGGTGATTGATAGGTCTAGATTCTACTTTGATGTTTGTATTAGTTGGGAAAGCAGTGAATGTTACTGCAATTTTGTTCATGCTCCCACCACGGCGGTGGAGAGAAGGTCATTTCGGGATCACCTCACAACATTGAGGGATAGGGGGGACAAGGATTGGCTCCTCGTAGGAGATTTCAATGCACTCATGTCTGACTTTGAAAAATAGGGAAGATGCCCCATCAGAAATGAGAATCGAGCCCCATTTAAGTATTTTGTGGATCAGAATGGCTTAATTGACTTGGGGTTTAATGGTCCAGTTTTTACATGGAAAAACATGCAACATGGTTATGAAGGGATTAGGGAGAGGCTTGATCTACCCTCTGCTCTTCAACGTGGAGATTGAGGTTTGAACTAGCCAAAGTCTTACATGAGATTTTTGTAGAATCTGACCACTACCCCATTAAAGTTGATTTTGATTCTGTGGAAGAGAAGAAAGACATCCCTTTTTGCTTTGATAAAGGTGGGGGTTTGAAGAGGAGTGTATTAAGATTGTGTCGGATGCTTGGGCGGAAGAAGGAGATGTGATGAGTGCTTTATAAAAATGTAAGATGCAGCTGGCGAGATGGGCACAGAATGGCAGAAAGAAAAAAAAATTAAAAGGGAGAAAGACTGAACCAAATTCAAGAGGAACCAGACTGTAACTCCCTTTTGGACGAGGAGCGTCAGCTTATGAAGGAATTGTTTTTAATTTGGGAAAAGGAAGAGGAATTTTGGCAACAACTCTCAAGAGTAAACTGGCTACAAGGGGGTGATCAGAACTCGTCCTTTTTCCATGTGGCTTGCATCCAAAGAAAGAGATCCAATCGGATAAATAGACTAAAGAATGATCAGGGGGAATGGATAGATGATCAACAAGATCTAAAAGAGATGGCTACTACCTTTTATCAAAACCTCTTTAAAGCCAAAAAGCTGATTCGCTCTATTTCAATATGGATGGGTTCCCTAAAGTGGTTACAGACGAGATGAACTCTGAACTGGGTAAAGAGCTGGAAAATGATTAGATAAAAAACGGTTTTTTATTTGGGAACATCAAAAGCGCCCAGGCCTGATGATTTCCCTAGTCACTTTTTTAGAAGGTTTTGGAACGTTTGTGAGACGAAATTATGTGAGGAGATTCGGGCTTTCTTCAGAAATGCCAGTATCGCACTAGGGTGGAATGACACCTTAATTACTTTTATCCCAAAGGTTGAGGGACCTGAAAATCTTGGTCAGTTCAGACCCATCAGCTGCTGTAACTTCAGGTATAAGGCGATTACGAAGATTATGGCAACAAGACTCCAGGTTTGATGCCTAGTCTGATTTCTAAGATGCAGTTAGCTTTCACAGGGGGAAGGCAGATACAGGATAATATTGTGATCGTTCATGAGGTGCTGAATCATTTTAAAAAGCACAAAATTGGGAAGAAAAGGGATATGATGATTAAGCTGGATATGAAGAAAGCACATGACCTGGTGGAGTGGAAATGCCTCCTAAGCCTATTAAAGGCTTACGGGTTTGGTGAGAAATGGTGCTCATGGATCAAAGAATGCATCTCAACTGTAAGATTCAAGATTCTTTTTAACGGATCACAAACTGAAGGGTTTACTCCATCCAGGGGCATCAGACAAGGAGACCCACTATCACCTCTGCTGTTCTTATGACAAATGCGCTCTCCTTTCTGGTGGAGAAATCTATTGAGCTAAAACACTTAAAAAGATTGAAGATGAATCAGAATTGTCCGAGACTCACGCATTGCCTCTTTGAGGATGACACTGTTTTCTTTGGAGAGGCATCCCTGAGGGAAGCTGCCAACCTGATGAAAGTGATAAGGGATTATGGAGCTTTTACAGGACATGAGATTAACACGAACAAATCCTCAGTCTTCTTCAGCTTCAATGTGAATGATGAGGAGCGTCAGTCCATTAAAAGCTTACTGGGGTTTGAAGAGGATTTCACTCATGATAAGTACCTTGGGATACCGACGGCTTGGGGACGTTCAAGAAAGGAAACGTTCCAATTTCTGATCGAGAAAATGAAAAAGAAGGGGGAAGGATGGCAGAGTCTCTTACTCTCACCCGGGGGAAAAGAGGTCTTACTCAAAGCGGTGTTTCAGGCAATTCCCTCTTACCCGATGACAGTTTTCCTTTTCCCAAAGACTACTATAAACAGGATGGATAGAATGCTTAGAAGATTTTTTTTGGTCGGGGTCGACGAGTAAAAAACCATTCATTGGAGGGCGAGCAATGTGCTTTACGCCCCGAAGGAGGAAGGGGGCTTAGGTTTCCGTCCTTTCACGGTTGTTAATCTTGCTCTCCTCACGAAACAAGCTTGGAGGATGATTGAGTCCCCAGATGCTCTTTGGGTTAAACTACTGAAAGGTCTTTATTTCCCAAGGGGGAATATTCTGAAGGCAAAGAAGGGAAGCAGAGCACCATGGATTTGGGGAAGCCTTTGGGAAGCAGGCCAATGGTTAAGGTTGGGATTGGTTAAGGTGATTGGAAATGGAAAAGATACTGGCATTTTTACCGATCCTTGGATCCCTTTGATCCCGGGTTTCTGCATTCAAAGTACGAACCAAGAGGGACGAAAAGTGGAAGAGCTCATTAACCAGGATGAGATATCATGGTGTGTTTTAGGGATGGAGGGAGTGGTTTCAAATGAGATAAAAAATGCAATGGGAAAGATTCCTATAGGATCCCGGGATATGGATGATTTTTGGGCTTAGAGATTCACGAATAACGGGGCATGCTCTGTAAGCTCGGCATTCCATGCTTTTCATAATCATATCCGGTTTGGAAGCTCAGGATCTTCAGGGATCTCACAAGCTGAGAAAGGTAAGTGGAAATGGCTCTAGAGTTTATCTCTCCCACAAAAGATCACCTTCTTTATTTGGAAGGCTTCGAGAGATGCCCTTGCGACCAAGAATAACCTGTTCGCAAGACATTGTGCAGGATCAAAGGCATGTCCGCTGTGTGATCATGAGGAGGAGTCCATCTGTCATGTCATGTTTGAATGCCCTCATGCAAAGGAAACATGGAGACGCTTTGCCCCTTTTCTTCCCCTCCCTCCACCATCTGTCAAAGTTAACTACTGGTTTTGGGATGTTGGAGAAGCATATCCACGGGAAGGATCTCAAACTGCTATCTTTCTCCTTTGGCATATCTGGAAAGTGCGCAATGAGATGATATTCAGAAGCCACTCTCCTTGGCCCCCACGGACCATCTCCCAGGCTATGAACGATTATCTTTCTTGGAAGAACTGTCAAGGAAACGAAATGATAGCCCTGCTTTGTCTAGTCGACCTACTCCACTTCCTCCTCACCCCCACCACCGCCAAGAATTCCTTACGGGTAAATCTGTGATGGATCGTTCTTCAACGATTCCCGGGAGGCGGCATATGGGATTGTTGTCACTAATTACCATGGTTAGGTGTGCGAAGGAAAGGCCGACTCCCTCCTCTAAGATTCTGCTTTGGAAGCAGAAGCCGTAGCAATTCATGAAGGATGTTTGTTTGCGGTGACTAACCCCTCCCCGTTCGTGATCAAATCTGATTGGAAGGTGATGGTGGATGTGATTGCTGAACCAAAGCATAGATGGCCATGGATTGTGGCAGTGCGGATTGACAGAATTCGGGCCGCACTCTGTAGCCTTCATGATGTTAGGGTTGAGTTCGTTAGGCATGAGCAGAATGCATTGGCAGACTGGGTTGCTCGGTCACGGGCAAAGAACCAGCTTCCACTGGATTGGGTTGCTGTCCTGAATGTATTACAACCTCTTATGTAACCTTGGTTGGATTATTGGGTAATGTAGAGACTAATTGTAAAAAAAAAAAGTGTCACGTCCTCCAAGTCGAGATCCAAGGGTGGGAATAAATAGCTCAAGGAAGGGTTACTTTTTTTACAAAAGATAATTATTAGATTAATTGAAAACTAGATAAGTACAACCTGGCACTTAATCGGGCCATAAAATAAATAAAAAACGACACATAGTAGGATACAAAAAGAGGACATTTCGAGCCACCAAATGGGCTACCATATTGCTATTCAGACTTACAAATTGCACATTAAGCCAATGATGCATTACCAACAGTTGTAATACTTCTTGAAAAATAGCGCCCGCCCGATTATCGCAACCATTAGCGCAATTGAGTTTATCAATGACCACCTTGACATCACCTTCAAACCTAGTCTTCGAGAACCCAATCTCTAGACACCACCAGATAGCCTCTCGGAGGACTAGAAACTCAACCATCATGGGATCATCAATCACATCAAACTGGATCCCTAGATCCAATATGACCATCCCATCCTGGTTCTGAATAATCATTCCACCTGCCGAATGAGACCCACATTTCGTCGCCCCATCCCACATGCAAATTACTAATTAGGAGTAGCCAAACTCAATTGAGGCTCACACGGGACATGAGGATATACAAAATGGTCCATTGACAAGTTACTTGGATTTTTCCATTAATACAACTATTTAAAAAAAATTACAAAAAATACCACCCAAACCTCAAGATTTCCAAAACTACCACCATTAATTGAGAACCGCTGCAGGGGGAGACGGTTTTAACGTAAACCGCCTTGAGAGGGGGCGTTTCCTGCTAGGGCGGCCAATCAACCGCGTGCGCACGTGGCGTTTATCGTGACCGCACGTTGAAGGAGAGATCTAACGGTGGACCGCCTGCTAGCTCAGCGATCTGTATCGTGTTATTGCTCAATTAGAAATGTCGGCGATGATGGCTTTAATCTTCAGGTCCGGCTGTTGCTCAATTAGATCCTTGTTAGTCGCATCAACCACCCTGGATTTCAACTGTCGATGGCCTTGGGACCTTATGGATTATACACATGTGTGAGTGTTCATTGCATGGGTTATGACCCAATGCCCAACCCTCTTGCTCTTGATGGCCTGTACCCTAGCCTTGCATCCCTCGTGTTGATTTTGGCATCTAACTATGAGTCTCTTTGTGTCGGAATGTGTTGTGCGCAAGTCAAAACTCCGAGTCATTGCTTCAGTTTCAATAGCATCTCGGACCTCCTTCTTCGATCCAAATTGTTGGCCCTTTGTAAACCCAGTGAGTGGACCCCATACTGGCACCTCCGCCAGCTCCATGTCGGCATCAACATACCAATTTTCATTTGGAATGTGGTTGTAGTACATGATAGGTACCCGGTCACGAGACACCTCATCATCATTTGAGTCTGAGTCATGGCCTGAATCATCAGCACGTTCAAGAGGGTCGAAGTTGTCGGCACTGAGTGGTCCTTCTTGTTCATCCTCAAGATCGCTGATTGGTCCTTGCAGGGTATCTTCCATCTGATCCAGATCATGAAAGGCACCCTCATCATCTCCGTAATGGTAGTTGCGATAACTACCACTGCTTGCATGAAAGTCATACTCGGGTTGGTACTGTTAGCCTTCTTGTTGGTTGTCATGGTACCATTGGGCTTGTTCGAATGATGGAAAGGATTGATAATGGCCTCCACCTCCTTCTTGATAGTCATTGTAGGGATGACGATCATGGTAGCTTTGGTAGGGATAATCTTCATATAATCTCCATCCACCGTGGATACCAGATGTTTGGCCTTCTCCTAAATGACCTCCATCACCTTCAATCAGCTCGGTGTAAACGAACATCTCTGCTTTATATTATTGGTGATTAAAAATTCAACCATGGAATCTACTTACGCCTGAGTGGTTATGAGGAATTCCTCATGCCACAACGCCCCGCATTGTCTGTTTGGATATCGGTACACCATATGATCAACTCTCCTCTTGCCACCCATGCAAGTAACCTCGGTACAAATTCAATTAAGATCTTCAAGGTTCGGTCTAGTAGTAACCTTCACTTTATAAAAATTACCATCGACGTAACGTACTCCATGTCCGGTCTCTTCCGTATAACCATTTCACTGTAACCCAAGTGTGAACTTTTGGAATGTCATCTGCAATAAAATAGTAACTTAATTAATACCATCAAATATGGCAAAGCAAACTCAACATAACAAGTAATACAAAACAAACTTACAACGTAACGATTATCGCTATAATTCAAAACACAATTCGCTAAAACAAAAACTTAATGAAGAATAGGAAGAGGAGGTGAAGTGCTGAGTTCTCCGGGGATGCCTTTGATAGGAAAAATCCCATTTGAAAACCGCTCCCCCCAAGGCAGTTTGCAAAAGACATGCAACCCCACCCTGCAATCCCCTGCATGCCGACATGTAACCTATCAGGAAAGTGGGGACTGCAGCAAGAACCGCCCCCCCCCCCAGCGGTTTTGGCTGTCTACATAAAAAACCGCTTATGGAAGGAGCGGTTACCTTTTTCAACCAAAAACCGATCCTTCAGCAAGCGTTTTTATCTAGGGCAGCCGATAAACCGCGTTGCAGAGGAGCGTTTTCTTGGCAATTCTAAAACCACTTTCTCCACATGCGGTTTAATGGAAAATCGTATCCCCCTGCAGCGGCTCTCAATTAATGGTGGTAGTTTTGGAATTTTTGAGGGTTTGGTGGTATTTTTGTAATTTTCTTTTAAAAGGTGCTATTTCTGGAAAAACATCTCAAGTTGCTCCACTCCTAACAATGTTGGTGACACTTACGCATCAACGCTAGGATACTAAATTGCTTTCCATAAAAGACAACCCAATTACGCAAACACCAGATTCAGCAAAGGACAACAACAAATGCCATAATTTGCTGCATTTGATGCAAGAGAGCCAACAACTTTTTCAGAAACAGGGGGAAAGTATGTCGAGACAGACCCTAACCAAGCTGGTCCAGACCCGAGTAATCCGACAGAGCTCTTGCCACCAGGCAATGGAGAAACAAATTTTCCATAGTCTTCGACTCATCTAATACAAGCTCAAACTCGAGTTTGGATGTTCAGAGTGCACAGCTATGGAGAATCGGCTCCAAAACTTGAGGTTGAATGTATGTAAATCGAAAACCGGGTTGGTGTTTGATAATGGAGGGTAAAACGAATCCAATAAACAACTTTAACACATTGGGAAAGAGGCTAATGTGGAGTAGTATCACCAATCAACCAAGGTAATTACTTGGATTGATTGATCTGCAATCCTTGGCCAAAACTAATCGGAGTAACTTTTGGATAAAACCAAAACGTGTCTTTTACAATCAAAGAGAAGACTAATTATAACCAAAAGAACTTAACTCCTAACCTAAAAGAACAAGGAAACGAATCTAATAAAAAAAGATAAATGAATTTGTCCTAAACAAGGTGATTGAACCCCACAATCCGAGTCCTATCTAGGAATTGGAAATGAAGTGGATCAATTAGGTATTGATCCTTTGGTGATAGGAAATGGAAAAAAGGGAGTTGAGAATTCAAGTAAGATGGAGGAAGGGGAAGAAGAAGCTACGGCGGCAGCAGCTTGAAAGAGAGGGGTCGACTGGCTAGAGAGAAAGGTAGGGATTAGGAAATAATTAGGTTTAATCTTGCTTAGTGGCTAAAGTCCACGTACAAGAATATTTATATAACTGAATAATTCTCTAATGCTACTCCAAATTATTAATCCCCCACTATTAACCCATAAGTTATCATGATAATCCGAAAGAACATTAAACTGACAGTAATTCCAAATAATCAAACTACAATAATACGAGTTTCTTTCACAAGGTAACTTAAACTCTAAGCAACTACCTTCTTACACAAGTAACTCTACATAGCAAACAGGTCTTCATACGATCTTCGAGCTTCTGGGGCATGGCCTTCGAGTTTAATTCGAACACAACTAATGCCTTCACGAGGTTTAGAAAGTTGCACACTCTCACCTCCAACTCGAAGTCCCTTCAATTGTACCCCAAACTCCACGAATAAGGTCCCAAAGTTGGTACTTCAAACATAGTTTCTGCCTTAGCCAAAACCACGTAGTTTTCCCGTGTCGCTATAGCCTTTTTCTTGACCTCGTTGGTACCCCTGCTGGCTTCAGTCTTAGATTCCAAACGTTTAGACTAGTAGAGAAATTCTTCTTCTTCAATTCCATACCTTCATCTTGCATTTTGGATGCGCCAATCATCACAAGAAAGCTTCCAAAGTGAGCACCTTGGAAACAGTCCCATACTTAACCCAATTCTGCCCTTCTAATTGATACCTTGATTACCTTCTTCCCAAGCTTGCAAGCTAGTTTTATTCTTGGTTTTGGCCAAGGATAGCAGATCAATCAATCCAAGTAAACACCTTGGTTGATTAGTGAAATTACTCCACATTAGTCTCTTTCCCAATGTGTTAAAGTTGCTGATTGGATTCGGTTTACCCTCCACCATCAAACACCAACCCTGTTTTAGATTTACATACATTCAACCTAAAGTTTTGAACCAATTCTCCATAGTTGCACACTCTGAACATCCAAGCTCGAGTTTGAGCTTGTACTATCAGCCAGCAAACTGGACACCTTGGAGGATCCGGTGAAAGATTTTCCAAAGAAAGACCTTCAACTTAAGACCGATCGGTGAATCCCCATAACGGAATCCAGGTAAGTCGATCCATACAACTCGTTGACAATCGCCACCTCCCCGTTTTTTTATCCACTAAAATCGCTAGGTATTAGGTTGATTTAATAGTAAATATCTCATCACAAGTATCATCCAGATAAGCCTATCATCAATATCTTGGAGAGGGAGAGGAACCTCTTTGATTGATGCACATGTGTCAGGATGAAACCACCGACTCAACCTAGTATCGGACCATCGCCCCTCTCCTTGACACAAAACTTAAGCTAGCGCCAGCTTACCTGCTAGAGGAAGCATATGAGGGTTTGACAAGCTAAAACACAACACCAAATTGCGACCAAGTGTATTCGCAGTCCGGAAATGCAGTAACAGGCAAGCTCTAATTGTCAACCCGGGGTCTAGATCTACTTCCTACTCCGTGTATATCTGCTATCTAGCAAACTAAGTTGAGTGATTGTTGATTTAAGTAAAAGCAGTAAGAAAGCAGGAAATGGTTTGGTTTTCTAAAGCAAAGGAAGAGTCACTCGGGAATGAGTCCCCCTAGCTCCTTAGTTAGGTCACAGTTGTAATTACTTTTGGTTGTTTTACTGCTGATTATACTGCGGAAGATCCGACAATAGCTTGGAATCTCTTAAGCTGACCAAGCCCTCTTAGTCAAACTACCCGGCAGACGACTAGTCTTCACCGGGATAGAACGCTGATGCAATGAACACAGAACTCCACTACTGGAATTAGATTCCAGTACAAAGCAGTGAATCAACTAACTCTTGTATAATCGATTCACTACTATCGAATGAAGAAGCTCTAACAACCTAATCAGATTCTATCTATCTCAGGTTGCAGCAGAAATCAATGAAAGATGATCAGACTTCAATTGACTAAATCAAAACACTTCAATCGATTATAATCAAGCAATATCACAATCCAAACATAATTACAATCAAGATTCCTAACACATGGAACTAGGGTTCTTCATACCCAAGTGAGAGAAAGTTCTACTCCATAGAGAGAGGGAGGGAAACAGAATACAAAGCAGTCATACTCATAACAATGGGAATAATCTGCTTTGGGATGTCAATCTTCACTCCTGGGGATGCAATCTAGGCTTCAATGGTGAGAAATCCACTCCAAATAGCTCCTAGGGTTTGTTCTTCGCACTTTCTCTCTCTATAACTCTGTTTTTGCTCCCAAAAAGTCAACTCCCTCTCTGGCTCGAATCTGCCTCAAAAACCCGATTCTGGGTGAAATACGGGCTGAATTACGGTCGTAATCATGGCCTGCCCGTAATTCACCCAAAACGCGCGTTTCACTAAACTCTGAGGAAGGTAATTACGGTCGTAATTACCCAATTACTGCCAGTATTTAAGTAATTACGACCATAAATGAGTCCACTCTTGACCGTAATTTACTTTGCGACAGGAATTCTCAGGGATTTAGGCTCGACATTGCATTTACGGGCATGACAGAAGCAATTACGCCCGTAATTGAGCAGGGGCTGCCCGTAATTCTTCCTCCGCTCCTGTTTAATGCTTCGTTTCTCCCTCGTCTGGACTCCGAATCAGTCGCCGTTTGATCCCAAACGCTCGTAGTCTCGTCCTCTTTCTTTTCATGACAAACTTCAATGATTATTTGTCCATAAAATGAGGTAGAAATCCATTATTCCTCAGGTCATGCTCGTGTTTCTTCTCCCAAATTGCCAAATGAATTCCGATTGACTTGAAACTTCCGCCTTTGCTTCAATATACAAGCTAGGACATGAAATGTGACAAAGGAACACAACCTAGCGTAAAATAGTCCAAGAAATCAAAAAATCTAGCCAAAATGATGAAGAAACGAGGGTGCAAACATGTGCAAATACGTTATCAAATTCCCCCACACTTAACCGTTGGCTTTTCCCCAAGCAAACCAAGTCAGATACAAGGAAAGCTCAACACATTTCAATCATGAAACCCTTGGGGACATATCATATAGGAACGAAACACGGGAATCATACTTGCGTTTAGACATCAACACATGAACAACTTCAACAGCAATCTGGACGACCACCACAGAAGACATTCGAGTGCAGCAAAATCGGGTAAAGGAAGAGTCTCCCTTCTGTTCACCAAACAACCTAGACTTGACTCAGCCACTTATTCAAGATAGGCAGCTCATGCATAAAACTCAAGACATCAGAATTAAGACCGATCCATCTAGGTCCTCACCGGCGTAAAGAGTGTAAAGAACAAGGAAATGAATCGCTCACTCTCGACTAGTGGGGTTAGGACAATTTGATGCGAAAAATCCGCATACTTATTCTCTCAATCCCTAACGTCTTTTCACCATGACGGCAGCCTCTAAATGTTAGAGTTC